ACCAGTAATAAAACGTGATATGAAATTACAGTAAAGATATAAAAATGAACAAAATGTTTACATAAAAGCCACTGTAATTTGTAATTATAATTATAATGTTAGCAATCATTTACATTAGTAGCAAAAACATAGATTTCGATAGATATGTGAGTATTGTTTAACGTGTAATATGTAAACGTAAATCAATTATTTTTGTTTCATTTTCTATATAAACATACATTATGTCAATATTTTCGAAGTTTTCAATGTTTGTTAATTTGCAATTTTGTATCAAATATAAGAATTTCAATTTAAAACAATGTAAATACTGTTACTATTTTAAAATCTATATCATTTGAACACATTTTCGACTGTTTTTACAGCAATTTTAGAAGTTTTTTAGAATTATTTTTAGTATAATTATAAAGAATTTTTATAAACACAAATGTTTTTATGAATTCAATCCATACCATAGATTTTACAGATATATTGTCTAAATACCAAATAGATATTAAAGCAAATATACGGTATATATGAGGGAAGACAGAAAATCGGTGATAGATAAACACAATGCGACAAATTGTTTCGTTTATAGAGTCCACAAGTTTAGTAAAATATGGTTATTATAGAAAATGCTTGCAATAACTTATAAACAATTGTGATATCACTTCTCATCCCTTATACGACGACAATTGTGTGTAGTATAGCTCACAACACATGTAATTGATTACTGCGTCCCTACACTACCCTATGGTATGGGAATTGATATAGTTTTACAGATTTTCATATTTATAGTCACTTCTGAATTGGAAATTATATTGTTTACCCAAATTCATGTATAGATATAAGATATTAGATTCTGTAAAACAATATCCGTTGCCATACTTTGTTGTACTGCAGGGAAGCTATAATCCATTGCTGTGTTGGGGCTATAACTGGAGAAAAGTGTTTTCTTATAAGCGCTGAGAAAGTGATACCAGAATTGCTTATAACAAACATTTGTTATAATAAACATATTTTATGAGACCTATCGCTCACACTATAAATAATATAACCCTAATATTAATATAAGAAAGCATTGTTAGAATGAGTTATGGATATAACAAATCGTAAGACTTAATTGTGTCGAGGATTAGCATAAAATGATTTGAAACGTTTGATTTGGTTTCACATACTGTATGATCACATCCTATGTCGGGGTTAGTCGTCGTACGGATCGATGTGTTTGCGACTTAACTAAAGGATAGCTTATTAGCTTATATTGTGATAGCATTACAGTAGACATTAGAGTACAGAGAGTGAGTGCATGGATGGTAGGGATGGCAGGGATAGCATGTATGGGCGCACAAATGCCAGAACTCAATGCATTCATTTATAGCAAAAACACTCTCTGTTTCTGTGAATCAATAGTTTGCAAACACATAAAAGAGCAAAACGGTTGAGCTCTCCCTAAATGTATCGTACATTTGGTGTATTTTTTGGGCATAAAGTGAACATAAATGACAGATAAGAGTGACATATAAATTGATTTCAAGCAAACAGATATCATGTATGTGTCAAATGGAAAATTATTTGCATATTTCTAATACATTATTTAAATTCAGGTCAACAACCAAATGGAGTCTCCAAACTAAGCGATTCTGTTGTTCAAAATGACAAAACTCGTCAAAAATCATTACTACTGCCGATTCAATCATCCCATTCGTCCCATTCATCCCATTCCTCATTAAATAGTTTAAATCAATTGCGGATGAATGAGGAGAAGGCAGTGCCCAAGAATGTGACCGCACAGGTCGGCCATCCCGTGTACCTCCACTGCATTGTCGACGCCTTTGGCGACAAAATGGTTAGAATCGCATTACAATCACATCCAAGTCATTAATATCTGCATTCAATGATATATACTGTTTAATGCAATTAATTTAGGTTTCATGGATTCGTTTACGTGATTTCCATTTACTAACAGTAGGTCTTCTCACTTATATATCGGATGACCGGTTTGTTATACGACACGGAACTCTCCAGTCCAACGACTGGGCCCTACAAATCAAACATGTCGTTCTCAACGATGAAGGTATCACTACTACAACTATCCTTTATTTCTCTCCACACTTCCCTCTCTTCTTCTTTGCGATACACAATCACCACTCCATCAATAAATCATTGCATTTGCCTTATTATATGTCATTTTCCCTCATATTTATTACGCTTACACTTGTATTCCGATAGCAAATATGTTTTTGTTTTTCGTTTGACTTATAAATATTGTATTCAATTTTAATACAATTGTCTCTAACATCGATATGATTTTAGGTCTGTACGAGTGCCAAATTAACAGTGACCCTCCACGTTCACAGTAAGTATCACCAAAATGTAATTTACATTCATAAATATACACTACTATCTCAACCTTATTATCCTATACTCGAGATATTGTATTTCATGTCTGACTTAATGCTTATGTTCTGAAAATAACTCTCTCTCTCTCTCTCTCTCTCCCTTATGTATGCTTTGAATTTAATTTAATATTTTATGAGATAAAATAAATAATAAAAGAAATGCTGTATAAAGTTGTGAAACATAATTAATGATGTGATTCTCATTTACAGGTATTACTACTTACAAGTCGTTGGTATGTGATGTCGTCTATTAATCATACGATTACATAAATATTCTGCTATTTTATGCAAAAAATACTTTTATCTCATATGAAAAAATTAGTCACTTTTGAAAGAATAGGAAAATAACAGTAATTTAAATTGATTTTAAAGAATAGCATTTGTCGTGATTATGAACAGAAGGCACCGTTAAGTGTGACCCCGGGCTTAGTCTTCATTGAATGCTCAGTCATATGAAAAGCATTTATATTGTATGGTATAGTAAAAGATTAATGAATAGGTTCTCGAAGCTGACAGTATTATATGGTTTGGCGAAAAAATAATTTCATTTCATTTAAATCCATTTATTGAACAAACATTTTTTGTTTCTTCTTTCTCTTTATTCAATTTGTTAAATAAAAGCCAAAAATACTATTAAATAATTAGTGAAAGAGATGTAAAATAATGAGTTGAATGCAGTGTTGTTTGCGGGATAACAAGCGCTATTGTAGTATCTGTTAGTATCTGTTTGGCAAATGATGTATAAATAGTGTATAATTGTGCAGTTCCTGTGGCCGAGATGGTGGGCCAGCCGGACATGTTTGTACGCGCCGGTGCCGTCATTAACCTAACGTGTGTGATATCACGTTCGCCAGAATCGCCAGCATTTGTCTTCTGGTACCACAACAACCGTATGATTAATTATGATTACAACTCCATTGGAAGGGGAGAGATATCGGTGCAGAAAGACTCGTCCAAAAGTGATGCCGTAATCTCACGTTTGGTCATACGGTCAGCCAAACTGCACGACAGCGGCAACTATACGTGTGCGGCCAGTAATGCTCAGCCGACGTCCCTATATGTGCACGTATTACAGGGTAATCATTATATTAATACCTCGTTTCCAATGAACAAGACATGCATTTCCATTAAATAATAGATTAGATTCGTCTTCAAAACAATATATCTTAATATCAAGTTTTCATAAACTGAATGCTTTTGCAATACAGTAATCGCATTACATATGAAAGTTATAATAGAGTTAATCCCTTCACATCCCTTCACTTACGTTTATGTTATGAGTTGTTGTTGTATTTGTGGCTTAAATGACATGAAAATGTTTGTCTTTCAATAAAATAAATATAAACTTGTAATCCATAATCAAAATGATGAGTGATTTATTTAAACGAAGGACTCTTTTCGCTGTAATTCAGCTTAATTTCAGCCATCGTTTTGGTTTTTCTTTATCCCATAATACGGAACTTTTAACGTACAAAATAATGTTATATATAACTTATACACAGAAATATGTATTTATATGAAATCAATAGATATTTGTCTCTCGTTTTTTCCCTTTTGCCTCTCACTCTTCACTCAACACTAATATATAGCGAAAGGCAAACGATAGATATTTTTCTCCAACATTAGAGTAAACTGTTTTTAAACAAAACACAAACAATTTAAGTGCAGATAATTTAGTTTTACAAATGTTTTTCAAATAAGTGAACCGAAATCTTTGTGTGCAATCATATTAATCATGTTTATTGTTTATATACTCTTATTATAGGAGAGAAACGCTTATCGAGTAGAATACAGAACGACCAGCCATTCAATGAACTCAATGCCAGCGATACTAACTCTGGCACATCATTCACATCCCTGTGCTCTACATACCGGTCAACTCATATTCTCCTCATCTTCATTATCATTGCATTGCAAACACATTTCAACAAACATTCAGTCTTTACATAAAGGGTTAGCACAACAGTCGACAGTACTATACGGGAAGACAATTCGCTAACGGCTCTAATCAAATGGATATCAAAACACACACTACTCTATACTTATATAATATATATTTTAAGAGTTTAAGAGTTTCAATCTCTTTATTGTTTATATACCGTATAGTCGAATGAAAGTGGGCAAACATGTACAGATGAGCCATGCTCATTTTGTTGAATCATTTAACCAACAGAGAGAGAGAGAGAGAGAGAGAGAGAGAGAGAGAGATGGGGTTTGATTTGCGTATGTATTGTACTCATTGTTAAAAAGCTGGGAAACGCAAGTAAGAAGTGATGGTTTGCCAGCACTTAATCACTTAATCCGACACCAAAGACATCGAATCTCTTTCATCTCTTGCATTGTCATCATTGGTATCATTCCATTGATAATGCATTACAACTGATACTCAAGTGTCAGTTCGACCATTAAATTGAACTGACATTTGCATTGTCTGTCTTTGCATTATATAATTGATTGTAAAATAATATCAAAATAAGAGTATTTGCTCTGAAATAGTGATTAGGAAGTATTGATAACTCGTGTATATATTAGTCTATTAATTCAAATTACATATAAATTTTATTTCCAATTATATTTCAAATTAGATTCATTGAAATAATAATTGTATAAAAAATAATATGCAATTAATGTCATATAATATTACAAAAGTGTGAATTTACTAAAAATATTACTGATTGATTGCTTATAAAAATATATCAATTCTCTTCCGATAATTACAACTTTTTAATAACTGAACAAATGTTTGAATATATTGTAAATTATTTATTGAAAATCATTCATTTCCTTAAAATAAAATAAAATAAATTTTAAAAAGTTTTATTTATTTAAAAATTTAAATAATGGAAAATTTAATTAAATTTTGTTTCGCAAAGAGTTTTATTGAAAACAATAAATCAAAGAAAATAGACTTTATATTGATTTTCACATCCAATTCACTATTCATTAATGAGTTAATAAATTGAATCCTTAAATAGTTTCAAATAATTTAATGCAATGAAATACGTAATGATTTTTGTTTCAATGTTTTGATCAATAATTTATTCATTAAGTTATTGTATTCATACTATTCTTATCTCTTGTCTATTAAAATAATTCTTGAGCTAAACTTTAATTTTGTTTATTAATGCAAATACTAATGAATATATTATGTAATAATAGTTATGAATTTTTCATTAATGTTTCAAAAAGCAATTGTTTATAAACAAAAAACTAATTTAGGTTTGTATAGACATTATAAACTTTTACATTTAAATTGATTTAATTATTGATTACGTTTTTATTATAATGAATGAAAATATCTATACATTATTCGTCCGTTTAATGTAAAACATTAGCATTCGTGACAAACAGGCATTTGTTGTACTGATTATAAGAATATTGTGTATATAGTATGGAGAGAGCGGAGAGAGCGTCGGAGAGACTGAGAGGACTGATACGCGGCTCCAACTGCTCTCAAATTCAATATAAAAGCTATAATATGTGCTGTAATATAGACTATAGTATGTTGTATAGTATGTATACAATGCGCTCCAGTTGTGAATGACTTGTGAATTGAATGATACACAATATGACTCTTAATCTATTGTATACATTACTCTATATGTAATTTAAATTGAATTTTTAAGTCTTGTTAGACATGTTTTAGTTAAAGCACAGCCGAGTAAAGTAAGTGGTATTTGCACTGTTGGCAGTCAAACAGTCAAACAAATCTTAATAATCTTCAGCACTCTTTTGGGTAATATTGACTTTCACGCAGTTTTTGACATCAAATTGGTTCAACATTTGAAGCAAAAATGAGACCAAAACAGCAATGATAACGCTTTTCACGACAACATCCAAACTGTTTGTGAGGGAATTCTGAGCTCAAATTTATGGCAACATTCACTTTAATTGTGAACATTTCTCCCAGTTTTATACATTTATACGGCATTTGTCTCGCATTGGGCGCAGAATCCTATCGTATTTTCCACTCTATTCTCCATATGAATGACATTCAATTCACAACTCAAATACGATATGCCTATCGGACCACAACTTTTTAAACTTATACTAAATCTAATATATTTTAGGATTAGTTAATTTCATTTTAAATCACATAAGTTTATGTGTAAAGTCTATAGAGATTATGCTCTAATGCTCTATCATTTGTTATCAAAAATAAGTTAAAGATGTATACTGGTTAATTAATGTAATCGTAAACCATGTTGGTGATAAAAATACATTTATAATATTAATTTAATTGAGTTTAGGATATTAAGAGACAGTTATGGTTGAGACTAGAGTTGAAAATACATTTGCAAACAATGAATAAATTAAAAACTAAAAAAGTCTCTCTCTCTCTCTCTCTCTCTCTCTCTCTGTTGGTTAAATGATTCAACAAAATGAGCATGGCTCATCTGTACATGTTTGCCCACTTTCATTCGACTATACGGTATATAAACAATAAAGAGATTGATTCCCTTCACTTACGTTTATGTTATGAGTTGTGAATTGAATGTCATTCATATGGAGAATAGAGTGGAAAATACGATAGGATTCTGCGCCCAATGCGAGACAAATGCCGTATAAATGTATAAAACTGGGAGAAAGTCTCTCTCTCTCTCTCTCTCTCTCTCTCTCTTATTACCATAAGTTATGATAAGATCGGAAAAATTGTTTAAAGGGATAAAAGTGTTTCTCTTGTGTTTTGAATGTAATTGAATGAAGATTTCGTTTTATAAGTAATTTAATTCTAGAATTTCAGTCTTGACTCTCGTTTTGTTTTGTTGTCGAAAAACATTTCGAGTTTTTATTCGATTTTATTTTTATTGATTCTCAGAGAAAAGAGGGAAACCTCTGGTGAAAGTGACATGAATTTTGTTTTCCATATATTGTATTCAATCCTCTCTTTTCTATGCAATTATCGTAAAAACTCTAAGGATTCAGAATAAATGAATGCGGCTTTTGTTGCAACACATCTCTTATCTATCCCTTCCTTTAGCTATTCATTAATATCCATATATAATATATAAATGCATTTAAATTGTTTTTGACATATTATTACTTCATATTTTTTGACCACAAATATTACTGTTATTATTCTGTATTTATTAATTCATTCAAATCATTGATTGACTTGTGTTTTGTTTCCTCTTTTATATAATATTTATAAAAGAGTGCAAAATAGATGCCATTTAATGATAAAAATAAGGGCAGCCTTTCTATGTATGTAATAATTCACTTTTCATTGTTAGTCTAAACCAGTATATCATTCGTGTAATACCAGTGACACAAATATACGACTATTTCTTCTCAGTTTTAAGTGTTATTATTATACAGTACTTGAAAAGGAAGAAAACATAACACAACGAAAAGTCACGGATTTTTTCTATATATATAATTGAAAACATATTTGAGAAGTGATGTTCACATTAATAGTTTGCTTTTTGTTTGGTGTCTAATGTGAGCAAAAAAATTATAGCATTTGTCGTTTTGGAAAGATTTGTCATTTATTGGAGTTTCAAATACTCTGATTGAACGGAAACTCACTCTTAAACCCAATCATTATGTTATTGACTGAACCTTCAGAGCGAAGAATAAATAAACTAAAACCCAATTTTGAAATTTTATTTTTGATATAACACTATATATATTTGATAAACAGATCAGAATATATCAATAATATAATATATATTCTTTCGGAACTCTTCAAAACTGTTTGCAACACAATATTAATTCAAAGCTTCAAATACAGTGCTTTTTCATAGTTATAAAGATTATATACCGACTATATATACAGTATATACCAAAAACCGTATTTTATTTTCTCAGACATGAAATTTGTTCATTTTTTCGCTTTATTTAATGTTAGGATATGTTAGCGTTGTCTACATTAGCCTCAAAAATACTACAAACAATACATACACTATATTTTGAGTAAAATATAATTATTTAAGAAAATATACTCTCGATTCCCAGCGGACAACAAATAAAATAAATAATCATTATTTGCAAATATTTTACTACTGAATGTTTACGATTCAACACAAATTGATACCAAACTATAATAAAAAGTGCTCGTTGTTGTATGTTTAAGTAGCACATAGTGCTCGGACACAAATTCCTATTGAATTATATACTATAATATTTCATTCAATCCAATATTATAGTTATTTATTGATTTTATTTGATATAAACTTTTACAACACTATAACACTCTCTTATCTGGAGCTCTCAATTCTGGATAAAAAATCTTTAATATTGATATTATAAACAGTGTTATTGTTTTGAAAATATTTCACAATTTATATTTCGCTATCAGATATAAGCGATGAAAAGTGTACGGAATTTACTGTTGAGAATTTACTCGATGGTAGAGTACATGTAATTTTATAATGGTTTCGATAATAGAATAAATATAAATCAAAATTTTTTCTTTGATATAAAAGCAATTTACAGAATTCTTTAAAAATTACATTTAAAATACTTACTAGTTAGAGCATATCTAATAAATAAGGCCTAAAAAGATACAGCAAATTAAATACATGTCTTAATCAGCATTAAAAGGGCTACAAATAAAGAGAGAGAGAGAGAGAGAGAGAGAGAGAGAGAGAGAGAGATTATAAATTCTATAACTGGTGTCTGAAAAGAGTATTTTGTTTGTCTATTCGTCGAAACATTTGTTTTACAAGATGTGAGTTCATGTCAGACAACAATATCTCAAACTCATGAGAGTTGGTGTCAAAGCGAGTGTCACATCAGGTTTTATCAGTGGCTCGCAAAACAACCATTGATTTTAATGCAAAAAGTCTAACCATAAGTGATTGCAAAGAATTAATCATTCGTTAATTCAATAACCAATTAATAGTTGCCTTCTTTCTTGCGGTCTAATGAAAACACCTCTCAATACCAGATCACTCTATCTGTAAGCCTATTATATGTTATACTTAATACTCTTATTATGTTATATCGTTTAATTCGCTGATATTTTAACGAATTTCACTCCAAATTGAGTGTAAACTCCGATAACTTTATATATGAAGCAATTAATAATGCATGTTGTGTTATGTCATGCGTTTCCCTAACAAACATTTGAAATTCACAATTTAAAGACAAAACAAATAAAAATCAATTGAGATTTACAATGAATTTATGGTTCACTGGCTTTTAAGGAAAGGCACAGAATTTTATTTATATATTGATATTTTGAAAGCTTTTATTTTAATGACATTGAAGTCAATTGAAGAAGTGGTCATAAGTTTTGCAAATGCATTGTCAAGACTGTGGACCAATGTATTTGCCATTTGTTTCTAGTTATGGTTTGTATTGTTTGTGATGTTTGCGAGAGAGAGAGAGAGAGAGAGAGAGAGAGAGGGAGAGAGAGAGAATGTGAGACATGAATGATTATCAATCAAATTGAAGAATAATTGGGGATTTGAAGACATGACAAATGCCTATACAATACCTGATGTGCTGCTG